AGGTGCCCTTGAGCAAGGCCTTCTTTCTTTGCGTGCACATTTGGGCGGCATTATGCAAATATTTCCACATAGTGAGGTAGATATGTGGGGGCGTGTTAGAACGAGCCGTTTTAGGGGGGCGTGGCAGAGTCTTAACTTTGATAAAGAATATCTCTTTGGTTTTGAGACTTTAGTCTTTGCAACTTCAGGGATCTTATCTATGCACAACCAGCTTGTAACACTCCAAAGAGAAAGGAAAACTTGAAATCGCATCATATGACCCCTTTAAGCATGACTGTTGAAATTAAATGGTAATACATAACAGTAAGAGTTAATTTGTAATATTAATGAAAGCTGTAGAAGTATTGTTCCTAGTGTGTTCATTTCAACTTTTACTATTACTAATAGGCTACATTTTTAAATTTGAAAGATTTTTCTTTTAACATTAGTAAACTATGAAATAACTTTAATGATAAATAAATAATTAATATTAATGTTTACAAAGTATGGTTCAGTACTGCTACTGCTTTTTTAAAAATAGTAAAGCACTGTTTTAGTTTTCGTTTAGTATCCATTTTAAAAACTATCGGTTGATTAATCGTATCGGCCAGTGTGGTCACACCTATCGGTATCGGTAAAATCCACTATCGGTCGACCTCTACTTAACAGTCAGGTGCTTTCTTCTCTGAGCAGGTGTGGACTCTAAGCCAAAAGTCAAAACTGAGACTAAATAAAACATAAGAAACAAAACGGGTATCATATCATCACCCAAGTATTTTGAGCCTTTGCTTATCTTGCTCGCACTGCTCTGCAAGACCACCATTTCAGAATCCTGGCTATAAGACAGCAGCCAGCTGTTCCAATTCATAGGGTTTGCATCTGGCATCTGTGGGTTTGCTGCACTGTCTGGCCTTGACAGTGAAGAGTGATTGGCTTCCCTGAGGACCCACGACTGACCCATCCTCTCCTCTCCGACTCATTATGAATATATCGAACAAATGCAGAATATAGCTAATATATCTGTCAAGGTGGTAGGTTGAATTAGCAGTCATCATGAATAACACATGAGATGAAGCACAAAGGGCTGATTTGAGAAGCGTGATGCATATATTAATCTCTTAAAAATAAAAGAGTGCATACAATTTTTTCCCGCCCCCTGCTCTGATAGCAGTCGGATCCCCCGCATTCCTTTGGCCGAGAAGAAGCACTATTATGTATCCCCTTGGTGACAGAGGTATTCCACCAACTTCCTAATAAGGACATTTTGGAACGTAAAAGGTGAGTCTATTAATAGAGAAGATTATTGCTTAGGAATATTTGCATTGCAGTGCGTGTGCGTTTCCATGGCACTGGTTGAGTTAATGCACAACTGGCCCAAAGCTCCTGTGCTCGATGCAGCAGACACACAACACTGCAGCTGCTGCTCCCAGATAATGTTGTAGCCTGATATCACATATTCAGTCAGCAGAACCTAAGTGAGCTGAAATGAAATGACTTTCAGGGCCAGTCTCAGCTCTTCATACTCCTTTAGCCTTGATGCTGCAATCGCTGAGGGATGATGAACATCCAGATGTGTTTATTTGGATGTGTGACACAACCAACCTGTCCTTTCTTTGGTCTCTGTTCAATCCAGTGTTTTTCATGAGTTCTCTTGTGATTCCTGCATTTCATTTCTGCATTATTTGCCATAAATAGACAGATGGTTCACCAAAAATGTTAAATCATGCCACTTAACTCACTATATTGTTGTTCCAATTCTGTATGTTGTTGTAGTTCCGAACCGGAATTCTGAAATTTAATGCAGTTGTGTATATCAGTGTATTTCCTTAAATAAATAAATACTTTTTATTTAATTTTATTTTAAGGTTGGGTATTTTTAATTATGCATGTTGATTTTAATTTAAATTTTTTTGTTATTGCTATAACACAAAAAATAATCAAAAATCTCCTTTCTGCAAATTGTAGTTTAAGACACACGTAGTGACATTTATTTAATAAAGTAAAAGATGGCGTGATGGGCCATATTCAAATCTGAGCCCCAGTGGAGGGGAAAATCATTCAGTAGTGACTTTGGTCTGATTTGTACAAAAAGTGATTGTATTGATTGTAGTGACTGTATTTTTCAATGAAAGTTTCTTCTATGTGGTGCTTCCTTTAGTGTGGTGCCAAGTCCAGGTGGTTCGTTTTTGCACATGCAGACTGTAATCATTATTGATTGATTGCCTTTCTCCACTCTTGAGTAACCAAAGTTTTTTTCTTTTTTCCATTTTCTGTGACGTTAGGCACAAAAGCACATTTGATGAAAGTTGACTATTCATTTCTCATTAGATGCCACTGGTGTTTTCATAAAGGCAGAAAAGTAGACGCATATTAAAGCTTGCTGTTGGACTTGATCCTTCATGTTTTTTTGGCTTATGGACAGCTGTACACAATAATTTTTAAACTTTAAAAAAAATTCGGCTATGATTGGTGCTTTCTAATCACTAAATAAAGCAAACTTTTTTTACTAACCATTTAAGTAAAGATACAGCATAAAGAGTAAAAATAGAGTTTTGTTATTTAGAGCACCGATTACAGACAAAATTAAGCAAAAGAAAGGCAAAAGAAAAGCAAAGTTATGTTAACACAGTCCATATTAGGATGAAGTGTCTGGTGCGGCTGTGTTTTGGACCCTGAGGTCATGGCAGAGATATGTCCGCTGAAGTTCAGTCCAGCTCAAGCAAAGATATTATGGGAATGCATCTCGATGACCCTGATACCAGTGTTTAGAAGGAGTCAAGACGCCCTGTTCCTGACCCCACTTGTGGAAGAGAGGGAGGAGGGCTTTTTTAACCCAGATAAATTGAACTGCATTGACACTGAACAGCTTCAGGTTGTTTGGCTTGTCTTTATCATACATACTATTTTAAGTTTGTAGACTTCCTGGATCTGCTTTCTCTTATTGGAACCACAAACTCATCTCATGTGAAAATCAAATAAGACGTGTTCGTGTCTGTGTCTATGTGTTCCCAATTAATTCCATGGAAGCAAAAATACAACCAGATATTCAGGACTGGGGCAACCCTGTTCCTGACCCCACTTGTGGAAGAGAGGGAGGAGGGCTTTTTTAACCCAGATAAATTGAACTGCATTGACAATGAACAGCTTCAGGTTGTTTGGCTAGTCTTTATCATACATACTATTTTAAGTTTGTAGACTTCCTGGATCTGCTTTCTCTTATTGGAACCACAAACTCATGTGAAAATCAAATAAGATGTGTTCGTGTCTGTGTCTATGTGTTCCCAATTAATTCCATGGAAGCAAAAATACAACCAGATATTCAGGACTGGGGCAACTAAATGTAATAATTTAAGAAAAACTGTGGGGGGAAAAACATTGATGAAAATTGGGCCCCCTCAATGTCTACTGTGGTTCTGGAGCCTGCTTTTGTACACCCCAAAAATTTGCTGAAAATGAACTCACCCTCAGACCATCCAAGATGTAGATGATTTTTTTTTTTTCATCGGAACAGATTTGTAGAAATGTAGCATTACATCACTTGCTCACCAATGGATCCTCTGTAATGAATGGGTGCCGTCAGAATGAGAGTCCAAACAGCTGATAAAAACATCACAATAATCCACATGACTCCAGTCCATCAATGTCTTGTGGAGTGAAAACTTGTTTGTTTCTTCAACAGTTTTTGACTGTTTTTGCTTGTAAACTGTGCTTGATCTGAGCATATTTCTCTCCTGATTCAGAGATGAGTTTTTCACTGGAGAAAGCAATATTGTGGACCGAGAACATGGATTTGTTTCTTACAGACATGCAGCTTTTCACTTCACAAGACAATAATTGATTAATTTATTACTTGTGGATTATTGTAATGTTTTTTTGAGCTGTTTGGACTCTCATTCTGACGGCACCCATTCACTGCAGAGGATCCACTGGTGAGCAAGTGATGTAATACATTTCTCCAAATCTTTTCCAATAAAGAAACAAACTCATCTACGTCTTGGATGGCCTGAGAGTGATACAATTTTAGCAAATTTTCATTTTTGGGCACACTCCTTTAACCCCAATGATTCACTCACTTGTTTAAAACAATTGCATAATAACTGTTTCACTAAATATGAGTTAAAGCTATATAAAACATCAGCTTACATTCTGAAATGTATCATAAAAATAGTTTGGCAGAAATTTATTACAGTGTGAAACTCACAGAATGCCAGGGTTGCACAACAGATTCCATTGAGTAAATCATAGATAAACTATTCCAAAAGATTGTCAGCATAATCTAATGAAACTTTATTGGAGTGCCCTGAGATTGAACATACTGAAAATAAAACATAAATCATGATTTTTACAACAAGTGGAAATCACATGTAGAGGGATAGTTCTCCCATGAATGAAAACTGATTTACTCGCCCTTATGTCACCTTTAAACTTGTATGACGTTTTTTGTGAAACACAAAATAAGATATTTTGGGAGATATCTCAGTATTTTTTTTTGACCATACAGTGAAATTTAGTAGGGTCCAGTGTTATCTAGATTTAGTAGATTTTGGAATTTTATGTGAACTGTTGTTTTAAGGGAACAGCACGTATATCATCAATGTCAATGTTTGGGTCTCTAAAGGGGAAGTTTCATATTCTTTAATGGTGTGTTGTTCTTTCTTTTACAGCTTGTGTCCAATGTCCTGATCTTCTCCTGCACTAATATAGTTGGCGTGTGCACACACTACCCAGCAGAAGGCTCACAAAGGCAAGCCTTCCAGGAGACCAGAGAATGTATTCAAGCCCGTCTGCACTCTCAGAGAGAAAACCAGCAACAGGTGAGAGTCCACCAGATATCATAAGAGCAGATTTTAAATTCTAGTGTCATTCTATGAGATTTAATGTTCAGTATGATGATTCTCCAGGCACTGATATCGTTAAAAGTCAAGAGTCAGTTAGATTATTATTGATCAAATAAATGCAGCCTTGGTGAGCATAATAGTAGTCTTTGAAAAACATTTGAAGAATCTTAAATTTGTAAGTACCATAATCAGGTACCCAAAGTACCATGATTAATACTATGGTATTTATTTAAGCACCTGGTAAAGCCATATAAAAACCGAAGTATTTTAGCATGCAACATTCTGTTCAAATATTTCTTTCTTTCTTTTAGACTCAAATATGTGTGAGGAAATAGACTCAGATTGCTTGGATTAGAGCTAAATGAATGAAAAGTTCTTCAGCTGGAGTCCATTCACATGTTTATTGATTTTCAGTATAGATTTGAAGCTGTGAGAAAACTAGTGCACAGAGACGTAGGCGTAGTGCTGATTAATTTGTGAGATTAGAACCACATCCTAGAACAGTACGGAGATTCATAGTGGCACCAAAGGAAAAAATAATGTCAGTTTCTGTAAACACAGAAGCCCACTGAGGCCATTCATCATTTTTTTCTGCAGTAATATATATTTTTTTCATTTCAAGTGTTTTGAAAATAACCATATGTTCTCAGTAGTTAAAATAACTATTATCCTGTCACAGTCAGTGTAATATTTGTAATATATGGAATAATGTTTTAGAATGAATGTAATTTCCTTCAGTTTTCTCTATTCCTGAGAGTAAGTAACATCTTTTGACACATGGCGCTCTTCTCTTTGTTTCTACTTGTCTTTTCCTTACTATCACTATCATCATTTGCAGGAACGCCTCCTCCTCTCTGTGCTTCCTCGACATGTCGCCATGGAGATGAAAGCCGACATAAATGCCAAACAAGAAGATATGATGTTCCACAAGATCTATATTCAAAAGCATGACAATGTGAGGTAAGAGTGACTCCTCAAATAGCCTGAAAGACGGTAGTAAGTGTTTGCATCTCAAAGCACTTTAAAAGCCTTTTCAGCCCACAGTAATCAAATGCAATTACTTTTGCATATAATTATGTTAGTACTTAGTTAGGTTACGAGATCAGTGCTTTTCGAGTAAGCTGCCCCTGTACACAGTTACCCTGTTGATAACTGAAAATGAAACCTTACAGGCAAATACAAAATCTGTACCCATTAGCATGTTGCTAAACTAACAACATGATACTGTTACATTATTAGATGTAATATTTTTTGCATTGCGTGAAATATTAGTAGGCTATATTTACATTTGTCAGCATTTCTCTCTGGCCATCTACCATCTCAGATGTTGTTTATATATTTATATATTTTTATTCATATAATATTGCTTATTTTTGTAATATGTTTTATAATATATTATAATAAAACAAATTTTTTTTTTAATTTTTTTGTTTTATTTTTGGGTATGCTTTCACCGTCAATTATATAAGTATATACTGCCTCAGACTTCAGTGATTTCCTGATAAGAAGCTTACTAGGTTTTGGAACAGAGTTCATAAGTGTTTTATAAATCTGATAAGCGTTATATATTGCACCCTCTTGTGGCTTAAGAGAAGAAAACACTCGCTCATCTCTTTCTCCAACTGACCATCATCGGTGTGTCAAGGCAGCTCTTCTGAGCGTCTACAGACACTTTTCCACTGATTGCGTGCCGATTTTCACACCACCAGACTCACAATCACAAGAGGCCCTATTAAGTATAGCCTGTTGTTTTACCTCATGTCGGTTTTTAAACACAGCTGTAATCTTATGAAGACTTGAGTTTAAAACCATGTGGGTCTCAGGTCGATGACATAAGACAACTCGGGAATCCATGTGATGAATTATGATTCTCCACGGTTCTGAATTCTAAATCTGGAAGGTAGAAGATTAACCCAAGATATAAAACGGTTTGACAGGGGAGTTGTTGGATTTAGCAGCAGAGTGCTAAGGCATGGCTACTGCCTGGCACACCATATTACAGCTATAACTAGTAAAACTACTATTTTATTTAATTTTTTATTTTGAAAAGCTGCAGTGAAATGTTTTTACATGTAATGATGGCTTTTATGCAGACAATATACATTTTAGACCTGTAGCCACTCTAAACTATTTTAATTATCAAATTGTAAAAAAGGGACCAAAGTGCTATAAATGCATATTCTGATTTAATGTCTACTTAGCATTTCCAATTTCACTGTTAAATTGGTGTTCGTACTGATAGTGTTTTGCTGTGATCAGAAGTCATTTATTTTCACTGAGAGTACCAAATTTCTGGCAGTGTGATTGTTGTTGATGGAACAAAGTTTAGCAGAGATTTATACAAACTTTATTTTTTAACTCTATGCAACTATCAATAGGAGTACAGTAGGGCTGTGCAATTAATCGTATACGATTGTCATGCGCATCTCGTCAGTAAAGCCGGTCTCGTGATTGGTAATCTTTGACAATTAGACAATATCGCGTTCATAATCGCAGATGAATCGCGTTCATAATCGAATGCGATTCATCTGCGATTATGAATGCGATATTGCCTAGTGAACTACGGCTCTGTGTATTGAATGCCGCTCCATCTGAAAGCAGGTGATGACGATTTACTACCAATCACGGAACGGGCTTTACTGACGAGATGCGCATGACAATCGCATGCGATTAATTGCACAGCCCTAGAGTACAGACAGTGATCCGCCACCTGGTACTGTTCAATACAGCAGCAGCACCTACTAGAAAACAACAGCACAGAGACTCTTTGACCTCCAGTGTTTAAATGGCTTGATACTCTCTGCCAGCCCTTTTCTATGATTGAATAGTGGGTAGACTACAGCAACAAAGGGCAACATGAACTTGGGCTTTGTGAGCCAGTGGGCAGCACGACTCCTGGCCCTCTGGGTTGTTGTCTGCTATCGAGGTTCTGTCTCTTATCCTTTTCCAGTAAAGCCCCCACCAAACAAGCTCCATGGTCAGAGGAATTATGTAAGTGTGCAGCCAAGCGGTATCTTGCTAAGTGGAATATTGATAGGTCTGTTACTAGAGGACCCAGTGGTTTAATTGCTGAGGACAGTTATATAACAATGTCTGTGTTTGAATCTTTGCTCCTGAGTGAAACCCACATTATTCTGGAAAGAGAAGGCTGGGAGTTTTGCTCGAGGAATTAACTGATAGTTCCTCTTCAGGAACTCGAGCTGCGTCGAAAAACGCTAGGGGAACGCCTTTGGCGACCCACGCTCTGAATCACATGTGAAATCAGTCCAATAGCTGAACGGGACGTCACGGCGGATGACGTCATTACCAGGAAGCTATAAAAGCACATGTGGTGGAGCCAGCGTCAGCTTTCTGTCATTCAGCGAAGCGCTCTGTGTGTGTCAGTCATATTTATTGTTGTCTGTCTATTGTGAGAAAGTCTAATAAGCAGCTATGTCTAAGGCTCACGCTAAGACAAAGCATGCAAAGGGCGAGTGCAAGCCACGTTATAGGTTGTGTGTTCCTCCCTGCCCACGTTATATCACGAGTGGGGATACACACAGCCTGTGAGTGGTTTGCTTGGGAGCGAAGCACGCAGAGTCGGCTCTTGAGGAGCCCGGCTGCCCGCATTGCGAGCGCCTCCCACTGCGTACGCTTCGCTCCTGGAGGGCTCTCTTTGAGGAGGGAGCCTTCGCCAGCGTTCCTCGTGGTGCTGGCCCCGCTTCCGTCGAGTCGGAGCGGCGGCTGCATTCGTGGGGTTCGCAGTTGGATCTGGCGGAGGGAATGGAGACGGGCGAGTCCCTATCTCCTTCCTCACCCACCAGATCCAGTGCCCGATCTCTGGGTTGGGTAGCCCGTTCTGCGGCTACTTCCTCCTGGGGTGACGGCTCGACTCTTCTCCTGTCTTCCTCCAAGGAGGTTGACGTGGAGGATGTTGAAGAGGTTTCGCCCCCTCAATTGCCCCAATATGAGGAGCTAGTGGAGATGCTTACTCGTGCCGTGGCCAAGCTAAAAATCGATTGGCCCGCCGAGAAGCAGGCCGAGCAGCAGCGGAGCAAGCTTGATGAATGCTTCCTGCACGCGAGGCCGCCACCTCCATGCCGGAGCCTGCCATTTTTCCCCGACCTCCACACCGAGGTGTCGAGGTCGTGGGCCAAGCCGTTTTCAGCCCGCCTATTCATCCCTGCTTCAGATTATTATGGAAATGTGGCAGGGCTATCTGAGCGTGGCTATAAGGCGATGCCCCGGGTTGAACAGACGCTAGCCGGCTATCTACCCCCGGGCATGGCATCGTCGTTAAAGGCTCCGGCACTCCCCTCCAAGCCGCTGCGTACGACATCAGCGCTGGTGGGCAAGGGGTACACAGCAGCGGGTCAGGCCGGTGCGTGTCTGTGCACAATGTCTGTGTTACAGGCGTACCAGGCCGACCTGCTGAAAGAGCTGGATGAGGGCGAGGAGCTTAGCTCTGATAATATCGCAGAGTTAAGGAGAACCGCTGATCTCTCTCTCCATGCCACCAAAGAGACCTTTTTGTGGCATTTGTGGTTGACCCTGTCTGATATGAAAGAGAAAGACAGGGAACAGAGCATTGCCGCCCGTGTTCCCCCGCGTCGGGACCGGAGGCAGAAGCGGCGCTCTGGGTTGGGGGCCTCGAAGCCTAAGCCGGATCTGCGGACCGTCCTTCAGGCGAAGAGGTCCTCGACCAAACGGTCCTGACTATTTCAGTGTAGGACTAGCGAGGGCAGGCCCTTCTGGGGCAGAGAGGATCACACCGCATTACACGGTGCCCATCTCGCCCCAGTGCCCTCGGGAGATCGTTCTGCCAACCCTGCCGGTGTTCCAGGGCGCAGCGGTCTCCAGCGAGCATATCTGTCAGTTACCGCCCGGCAACGTA